ACGCACAAAATTTTTGAGTATAACCCTCTCGATAGCTCACTGAGCGACCTAGAGCTTTCTTATAGGACCAGATTTGAACTCTTGTTTTCATGTGTTGAAATATTTGACAAGACATGTCGTAATCTCCCGAAATCTGCCCCCTGACTTGGATCTGTAAATTGACTATTAGATCGAAGTTGCACTTACCTAGTCGGACAATTTGTTCTAGGTAAACATAGTAGTCGAAAATTTCGAGCGTAGTGTATGTAACAAATATGACATCTGTGACATGTACATTGCACATGTCCTTTGTTTTGTCCATGTGTGTTTTAAGACCTATCCGTTAGGAGACACTATGACACTGAAGTACTTGATCATAGAGCTGAGTAATTAATAGAATTGCCCGTTACTTTCATTGACTTATATATTACTAGCGTAAGGACCGGGCCGACCGAACAACTAAAACAGACCAGTGCGCTGGCCCTAAAATAACAGTTTAGGGCCAACGCGAATTGGTCGACTGTGGTACGCGCTCAGGACAGATTTGCCTGTCATAAATATGTATAGTTGCTTGGTAAAAAATGCAAAAATTACGATACAAAGATTTAAAAAAAATTGGATATCGTATCATCGGTAAATAACCTTATATTAATTTTGTTACAGTAAAATTTTTATATAAACGCATTTTTAAAATTTTATTTTACAGTTAGTTTAGTTACGTTACGAAGATTAGGCCAGGGTTGGATTTAGATGCTCAAAAATATGTACATGGAAATTAAAATTATACTATTTAAAAAAAATTATATCACGTTTGACGTTTCATGTTTCTTTTTTCCCATGTGCCGGGATTTTGGCGTCACGCGTCTAGTTTATTTATACGTTTCGTTTTTTGACGGTTTTATTTTTATTTCTGTTTAATTTTTGTCTAAAGAACTAGGTGTAAGTTAAATTTTGAATATTGGTACCTAATATATTTTATATTCAGTAAGACTAAACAAAAAGACTACAAAAGAAACCATACCTGCTTAATTGAATCTGAAAATCTGATACATAAAATATTTTTAAATTCTGTTTTCAAACCGATTGCTTCTGGAGCATAGAGTTTTTATCGTGGTAGCACCTCATTATAGTTGTATCAAGAATGCACAACAAATGCATAAAATATTTATTAAAAATAATTTTATTGAAAAAACGTGGTACTCATGTACAATACAAAAATTCTCGATATCGGGTTAATATTAAAATGTAAAAGGACCCAATAATAATACAAGTTAACCTTTAGGAATAATTATGGTATTTTCGCTTTGTATTATTACGATACTATATACTAAAAACTATCAAATAATTGTACAATCAGGATAATTATACTACGAAATCCGACCCTGGTTACGTCGTGTTTTTATATGACGTTTATATTATGTCAGAGGCGCTACTTTTTCTTGTATGAAAAAGTTATGAGTAAAATATTTAGATGGGCCTATCCTTCCTTTTGAAATCATTGGTTACTTTGCGGAAATCCATTATATTATAAATGTCAAAAAACTATTAGCTAAGATCCACGTAATAATATAAAATGATGTGTCTTACCTAGATTGAAGAGCACCTCCCACCCTCCCTCATTTGCGTGTACTATCCCCGTAACAACTAATCCCAGCACCACTACTCTCAAAACCACACACTACCATCATACGACACGTGTTTCGTCTCTACACGAGGCAATCGCAGGTGAAGTAGACTCTGCGGTGGCTGACCGCTATGTAATTAGTACTTACTTACTTACTTACTTATCTTCACGCACAATCCCTAACGGGGTAGCCAGAGAGAACAGATCGCCAAGTGTCACGATCCTTACATACCTCTTTCGCTTCTTTCAGGTTCATTAACTTCTTCATACATGCACGTCTAGGTATCCGAGTACTCTTGACCCTCCCCTCTTCGAGCAATTTGCTCACATGGTCTTCGAAAGTTAGTCTCGGTCTACCTCGACACCTTTTAATATTTACTTTCGCTCTATATATTTTCTTCACCATTCGGTCTTCACTCATTCGTTCAACGTGCCCAAACCATTGGAGTACGCCCCTATCAATTTTTGTTATAAGGTCATCTTTCAATCCTGCCATATTGCGAATCTCTTCGTTTCGCTTTCGGTCGGCTAAGGTAGCGCCACACATTTTACGAAGAGATCGCATCTCCACTGCATTCAACTTGCTTTTATGCTTCTTCTGGCATACCCAGGTTTCGCTGCCATATAACAAAGTCGGTACCAACACTGCATTATGTATTGCAAGGCGTGCACTCTTCACCACGCCTTGCCTTTTTACTAATGCATTCAGGGCACCATTGACTTTGTTTCCGGCAGCGACACGCCTGTCCACATCTAAATCACATCTTCCATCCCGGCTGAAAGCACTCCCCAAGTATACAATTTCATTTACCTGTTCTAGACATTCCTGATTTACCCATATTTCACATTTCGTTCTCTCTTCGTCCTTTTCAAATACCAGAACCTTAGTTTTATTAGCATTCAAACGGAGACCTTTAATTTCACATTCCTTTTTCATACACGTGACTAATGCCTGCAGTTCTGCTTCTGATGGTGCAATAAGCACTGCATCATCAGCATACAGCAGACAATTAACTTTTATGTCACCCAATTTCACACCCAAACAGCTATTTTTCAGCTTCTGTAAACAGCTGTCGAGATACAGTATGAACAGCCAAGAAGACATGACACAACCCTGTTTTACGCCCGCTTGGACGCTAAACATGGGTGACAGGTCATGCCCTACCCGCATACAGCCTTTACAGTCATAGTAAAGTGACTGCACAGCCCTTAACAATCGACCATCCACACCATATCCCGGCAACAGTTCCCACATTTTCTTCCTTATAACCTTATCAATGCTTTCTCCAGATCCACAAAAGCACAGAAAATCTTCTGGTTAACACTCAGAAGCTTCTCCGTGATCATGCGGAGAGAAAACATTTGATCCGTGCATCCTCTTCCAGGTCTAAATCCGCATTGTGCCTCCCATAAGAATCTTTCCGATTTCTCTTGCATCCTACGTGTCAAAACCTTCGAGTAAACTTTACTTGCTAAACTGGTCAAGCTAATCGCCCGATAGCACCCGCAGTCAAAATGTGAACCTTTACCTTTATATAAAGGCACAATGACCGCGGATCGCCAATCATCCGGGACATCTCCCGTCCGCCAGCACAAATTGCACAGCAGATGGAAGCTGTCCCAGACGCGAGGCCCACCGTACTTGACCATTTCAGCAGTAACTCTGTCTAGTCCCGCAGCCTTACCACATTTCAAACTTCGAATCGCACGTTCAATCTCTTTCATGCTGATGAAAGAGATTGAACGTAATTAGTAGCCACTCGAATGTCGGGATCATTTTGGCCAATATGGCGCATCTGTCGAGCACTTTCCGAAGTACTTAGTATATAACAAGTATACTAAGTATATATGTACATATACAACACGTAACATAAATAACGCACTTTGAGAAAGTAGTTTGTTCAGAATCGTTTACTGAATCGATTCCTATCATTTTTAATATAGGTAATTTTTTATCCCAAAAATAATTAAAACTACTAAGTAGGGCATGCATTTCGGATATCCGGATATCCAAATTATTCGGATATTCGCCTCGTTTATTATTCGAATAGTATATTTATAATTATTCGGTTTTTACGAATATTTCGAATACTATCTTATTTTGATTTGTTTAAAATATCCGAACGTAAACCTACTAAGTTACGTGAAAAACATGCGTGGATCCGATTGTGGGTGATCATTCATCACGTAGCCAAAGCCGAAAATATGAAAAAAAAAACTACTTAGCATGTATGCATAGTGCGAACGGTTTTACATTTCGTATCTTTGCGATATTGTTGTGAGTTGTGTTGTGACGAATTTCAACAACAAATAATAGTATTTGGTTTGATTGAAATACCCAAGTTAAAACTTAGATGATAGGTAGGTAATCTACATTAGCTTGCTACATATTTATTTATCTATGATGTACATTAACAATTACATTGCGCCGCTTTTTATTATTGATATTCCAATTGGACGATGCTTAATTCTACCTCTAATTTATAGGTTATGTTATGCTTGTGTAGCAGTTTAATTGTTTTGCAATTCCTATTGGCACACTTTTGTTTTAAATACTTACTTTATAAAATGCTTTTTTCTATCATATTTTTTTAACGATAGATAAACATAATGCAAGGTTTACTAAGCACGTGAAATAAACGGCTGTTAATTTGGAATGTGCTGTTTTTGTCATTTACCATTTTTGATCTCGTTTTGGTGTTTTTCTTTGTAGTTGCGTTATCGTATAAAGCTTAAGCTGGGTTGGTACAGTGGCTTTTGTTCAAAGTTCAAAATATTTTATTGTTAATCCAGATAAATAAGGGGTTACAATTAGATAGGTACAGTATCGCTGAATTTTGCAGACAATTGTGTACAGCGTGCAATAATTACAATTATTTTAAATTTTATTTTATTATTTTAAACTGTAATAACAATAACATAAACCAAAAACAAATTCTAAATTGGTTCTAAATTCTAAAGCAGTTCCAAATATTTATATATCTCTGAAGAAACTTATTAACAAATATATTTGGTGTTGTGTTTTCTCTCTCCACAGATTAAAGATGGATGAAAAAAATAAACTTGAATTTAAAGAATATACTCGCTGTGCTACAGATAAGTCTTCTGTTTGGCAACATTTTTTGTGGACATCAGATGGCCTTCATGCTCAATGCAAGATGTGTAAAAAAGTATTTAAAACCTCTGGAACAACTTCAAGCCTGCATAATCATCTTAGACTTGTTCATTCTATCCAGTTAGCTAAAAAAACATCTAACTATTCACTTCCGTCAACATCTCAAAAAGATATGTCATTAGATTCCGATGTCATAATGACGCCAGCAACAAAAAGGCTAAAACAATAAATGACTTTTTTCATGTGAAGGAAGAAGATGACTTAGATACTAAACTTGCGAAAATGACGGCAGTAGATGGTGTACCATTTAAAATATTCTGTTCTTCGGAATCAATGAGAAAGCTATTTGGAAAAGCTGCTTACAAAGATTTGCCTAAATCACCAAATACAATAAAGAAAAAGGTTCTGAATAAAAGTGAGCTACTGAAAAAAGAAGTAAAAAAGGAGCTTAATGATATTAAGACAGCAGGAATACAATTGGCTGTAAGCCTAGATGAATGGACAAGTGCACGTAATCGCAGATATGTGAACGTAAATGTTCATTCACCAGAGCTTTCTGAAGGTTTTAGAAACTTGGGACTGACGAAAATAAGGGGCCGTGGAACAGCAGAGAACTGTTATAATATATTGAACGAAAAATTGGTATATTACGGCTTGTCAATACAAAACGATATCTCGTGCATAATCTCTGACAGTGCAAGCGTAATGTGCGCACTAGGGAGAATGGTTCCCTCTTATCATCAATTATGCTTGGCCCATGGTATTCAGTGCGCTGTCCTGGACGTGCTATACAAAGCTGATAACACAGAAGGTAACACCGGCATCACTGTTAACAGACCTTGCGATAGCTCTCACTCTGAGGACGAAAGTGATATAGAGAACGAAGATGAAAATCGTTTTGTCATCGAAGCTGACCCCAGTGGGGTCATTCCCAAGCTGGTTTATAAAGAATTGATAACTAAAGTCCGAAAAATAGTAAAATTTCTCAAAGGTTCGCCTACTCGCATGGATATACTCAATTCTTACGTGGAGTCCAAATCTAAAGACACGACACTGATCCTCGATTGCAAGACTCGTTGGAGCAGCCTTGGTGATATGATAGCAAGATTTCTAGAATTCAAAGACGCAATTCAAAAGACATTAATTGATTTCAAAGAGAAGACTACCTTTTCAGATACTGAAATATTAATTTTGAAAGATATGTCTAGTTCTCTCAATTTCATAAACTGTGGCCACAGTTGAAGAACTTTGCGAGCGAAAATCAAACTTACTAACCGCAGAAATTGCACTTCAATTCATGATAGAGAAATTGTCGATGAATCCAGACGTTATTAGTGGCCAGCTTAAAGAAGCTTTAAATAGAAGAATCTTGCAGAGGAGAAACGCTACACTGGTAAGTACGTTACAGTACTTACATAATCCTACAAAATATTATGACGAAAGGAATACTCCTCATGCATTTTCAAAGGCATCCCATGCGGAAATGCGGCCTTAATTGTAAAAATCAATGAGACTTATTTTTGCAAAGATAAAGCTGCTACAACTGTCTTTGAAGCTGAAGATGGCCTGCCTTTAAGATAAATACAAAGACAGCAGCGCCTTGAAGATGAGAGGGAACAGGAGACAGCCAAGACATTCAAGGAACGGTTAAAGACAAAAGTTAATGAATCCTTGCACAATACTGCTGAGGTATCAACAAAACATTTGTCCGAAAACGATGACTTGGAAACGTCTGTCAGGGTGGAAATGGCGCTATTAGATCGAAGTGGCCCTAAAAGCATTCATCTCCAACGTGTTTACGATTTTTTACTTACCATCCCACCTGCAAGCGTTGAAGCAGAACGTGTATTTTCGGCTAATAGATATTTTTGCAATCATTTGAGATGTTCATTCAATGACGATACGTTAGACGCCCTCAGTTTCCTGCGGTCATACTTTATGTACACAAGAAAGTAATTTTTTATATTTTTAAGTAAGTGTGGATGATTAAAAAGGTTCCTAATTAAAATGTTTAAGTAATAATAATGTTTCTTTTCATAAACTTAAGCACTATTCGTAAAATTCGTATTATTCGAAATATTCGGATATTTTTTATTCGGAAAATTCGAATACCTTTTTTGGACGAATATTGCATGCCCTGCTACTAAGTTACGGTCACACTAAATCTGTACAGTCAAAAAAAACTGAAATGGACCTTAACTTAAGGCAATAAGACTTTTAAGAGTGTAGTTTTATTTGTGTTATTGCTAATTCTGTCATTCAATAAAAATGAAGAAAAAGAACTTTATTTCAAGCACGTTAAAGTCTTTGCGTTCGTGGATTTGTATTGTGACCACAACATTCTTCCGGAATTACTATAACTAATTTGATAAATAATCAGTGCATAAAAATGTTTAAATTAAAATTCAGTGTATGTATTACGATTATAACATAGGTAATATACTAATTGGGGTGTCTGAGGGTGTGCGTTAATTACGTTACATATTGTATACTAAGTAAGTATATTGAAATCATATATCAATGGAAACGTTATTAACTATTAGATTAATAAGCTATTAGATTATGCATAACAGATATATACATATGTTATATATATATATATATATATATATATATCTGTTATGCCATATTATGGCGTTTTTTTTTGCGCCCGAAGCAATTAAAGGGCTGCCCTATACGTAGTTGTAGGCGGAAAATGCATTACGCATACCACGATAGCCGGTCTATCGTGGTTATGAGGGACTCACATCCTACCGACTGGCAACTGGCTGATTAAGCTTTATTGTGCCGTATCTTGAGCAACCCTCTTTTGGGAAAAGAGGGCGCAGGCGGCTACGAGCCGCTGAGGGAGTGCCTACGAAGGCAAATTAATTATGAATAAATAATTTAATTTAATTAGAGTTGGCCTGAGCCGCCAGGAGGCAGTTCAGGTCGTTTGATAGTTTATTAGGCGGGTCCGAGTGAGAGTTTCTCGGCCTGCGGACTCGATAGCGAGAGGGGGTGGGGCTGCATAAGTAGCTGCCTCACGAATTAAATGGTTGGAGTGCGACTCTGAGGCTTTGAAGAAGTTCTCAGAGAGTTTTTTGAGAAATTGTTGAATTGTGGGGAGCTCTAGGTCCCGATGAAGGTCGGCATTACGGACGTACCAAGGTGCGTTCGCAGCTCGACGACAGAAAAGGTTATGAACTATTTGGAGTTCTTTAATAATTTTAGGGTCGGCGTGGGCAAAAACGGGGCCCGCGTAGGACATGACTGGTCGTAAACAAGCGTACCCTTTACAAGGTCGTACCCTTGTAAAGGGTACGCTTGTTTCTAAGGGACATTTTACTGTGTCGGCCCAACATACTGTTGAGCCTACTCAGGTAAAAACGTGCGTGACGGGTTACTCTTTTGACGTGGGGCCTGAAAGTGAGCCTTGTGTCTAGAGTGACACCTAAATATTTGGCAGTCGTATGCCAGGGGACAGGGGTCCTTAGCATTCGTATTGCTGGAGTGTTTTTGAGACGGCGTCGTTTATAATCGAAGTGAACGGCGGAGCTCTTCTCCGGGTTCACATCGATGCGCCATTTTTTGAACCAAGCTCCTAGGTCGTCAACTGAGTTTTGAACCTTGTTCCGTATGAAAGGTAGCGAGATACCTTTGCAGTAGATAGCAGTGTCGTCTGCGAAGAGGGAGAGCTGAACACCTTTCAACGGGATGGGAATGTCGTTGGTGAACAGGATGTACAGCAGAGGAGTAAGTACTGAGCCCTGAGGGACACCAGCTTTGATAGGGCGCTGTGAAGATAGCGTGCCTTCGTGTCTAAAACGAAAGGTACGATGCTTTAAGTAAGAGGCCACGAGACGTACTAGACGATCGGGGAGACCTATTTTGTACAGCTTGTAGATAAGGCCTGTATGCCAGACTCTATCGAAGGCTTTAGCTATGTCGAAAAAGACCGCGATGGTCTTATGACGACGAGGATAAAAACCGCTGAGGATGTATTCCAAAATACGGTGAACTTGTTGGGGACATGAGTGTTGCGCTCGGAAACCGAATTGATGGGGAATGATAAGAGGGTCACCGTCTGTGGGAAACAGATAGCGCCTCATACGAGTTTGGATGACTCTTTCGAAGAGCTTGCCCATTGCCTTGAGGAGGCTGATGGGGCGATGACTGGAGGGGAGGTTGAGAGGCTTGCCTGGCTTGGGAATACCAATCACAGTTGCCTCTTTCCACGTAATGGGAAAGTAACTAAGGTTGAAGCAGGCGTTGAAGATAATAGATAAAAAGGTTAACACCTGCTCAGGAAAGTGTTTTAGGGCTTGGTTGGAGATGGCATCCGCGCCCGGAGCCTTTTTAGGCTTAAGTCCTTTGATGAGGGATGAAATCTCATCATTGGACACAGAGATAGGTTCGGAGGCTGTAGGGGGTGAGTTCCGGCGGCGGACCTCATCCTCCACTGCCTGGACGTGTGAGGGGTCGACGGGAGAGCATTGTGCGGCAATGCTATCTGCAAAGCACTCAGCCTTTTCCTCGTCCTCGAAGGCAACTGTACCGTCGGGACGGGAGAGAGGGGGAGTGTGGGTGAGTGTCTATGCGGAGGGCTCTGCCCATCTGATAGTACGCTGTATGAGATGGAGAGATATTCTCCATGAGTTTACTCTTTTCGAGGTCTCGAAATTCAGAGAGGCGGAAACGGAGTTCTCGTTGAAGACGATTGGCCGTGCGCCTATATTCGGGGGTGGAATATTATGCTGCTCTCCGGAAAGCGGCGTTTTGGCTTTTAATAGGTTGCTAATATGTAGGGGAAGCCCACTATTGTTAGCAACCGGGACGCCCTTTCATTCTCCTTAGGAATAGGGAGGATTTAATAAGGGTGGAGAGTGAATCGACCGCGGTGTCGATTTTTTCGGGACTGTCTAAGTCCGACGGTAGGGAGATGGTAGAGTCCTGTGAGTTCAGAGCTTTAGCTAGGGACTCCTTGAATCCCTTCCAATTAGTGAAGGTTTTCGTGTGTGTTGGGGAGGTGGCTGATGGCCAAGAATGAGGGAGACCGGTCGGTGATCGGATCCTAGATCGTCTAGTGTCTCGATTGCTCTGAGGTTGAGAGAAACTCCTTGGAGTAACGCAAAATCTAGTACATCGGGGGCGTGATCGGTGTTATCGGGAAAGTGAGTAACACCGAGGGGACTATGGACGGTAATATCAAGAGACTGCGTGATATCGAGCAGTATCTTGCCACTAGGGGACGTAGTACGGCATGTCCATTCAGTGTGCTTGGAGTTAAAATCTCCAAACATAATGACTGAATTGCCTAAAGATAAAATAGCCTCAAAATCTTTTTTGAGGGGATGGGTTCCTGAAGGGATGTAACAGGAGGCTATGAGGATGGACTGATGTCCAGTCATAGCCAGCCTACATACCGTGGCTTCCATGCTGGTAAGCTGCGGAGTAGAAATGGGCGAGCAGTGAAGTGTCTTCTTGTATGGCCGTTCCACCGCCTCGGCGGTCGGGTCTGTCATTACGAAGAAGAGAGAAGTTTTTAATAGAAAGGCCTTTAGTGTCCTTAGTTTTGAGATTAGTTTCGAGATTAGTTTCCTGTAGGAGAAGGAAATCGGCTTCACGATTCCGAAGAAAGAGCTTAAGCTCTGGGAGGTTATTTCGCAAACCGCGAATATTAAAGGATACAAGCGATAAAACCTTAGGTTTATACGACCGTGAGACTTTGGTAGAGCAAACTGCTCTGTCATTGAAGTTAAGTTAATTAAGTTAACTTAACTTACAACGAGCACAAAAGATTATGATGCTCTGTAAGAGCGAGGAGACGGTCCTGAGGGGACCTCGCAGCGCGCAATTTGCGTGCTAACACCGCGAATTCACTAACTTCGATGTTCTTAATAGCGGAATAAATCGTTTTTAGGTCTTCAATAGTGGGCTGTGTTGGCTTGTTGTTGTTGTGGGGCGGAGGTTGTCCGCGGTGGGTCTGCCTTATTGGGGCCCCAGGGAAAGACTGGAGGCTGCATAGGCTTTGAGAAGCCCGGAGGTGGCCGAATAATGCCCTGAGGGGGCCTAGGGGGACCCTGAGAGGGCCGAGAGAAGCCCTGGATGGGCTGAGAAGGGCTCTGACGGGGCCGTTGGTAGAGAGCCGGGAATGAGCGGTCATTAACCGGCGGTGGAGCTTGTCTACTGGGGCGAGGATGAGGTGCGCAAGGGCAGCCTCTGTAGTTAGCCGGGTGGCCTGTTTGTTTGCACAGGACACATGCGGGTGGGGATTCGACGTCTTTGATTATGGCGTTTGACAGATGCGCATATTATTTGAGACGCCAGAATATGGCGTTTGTACAGACGAGGGGGTAGTACGTAGTACTATTATTTATTCTGTGTTAGTCGCAATTGACCGAAGGCGGGATGTACTCTTCAAACTAGGTATACATATCATTTTATTTTATTGCACGGATCTTAGCTAATTGATTTTTAACATCAATGACTGCGTTTGGCAGAAAAAAGCGCTAGCAAGCGCTTATAAGCAAAATGGCGAAACTAAACATTTTTCGGGCAGGACACGTTTGCTAACTTCAGTAGCGCTGACAAAATCCGCCATTTTGCTTATTTAATTTGTTTGATTTGAAGTAGAGTTTATAAGTTGTTTTGTGCAATATTAGTTTTAAGTAATATAATGAAATGAATAAACATATTATTCATGTTATTAAAAATTCATGATTGGTAAGTTCTTAATATGAATACTTTACAAACATATATTTAAATTAGGTTAGGTTCCCCGGTTAAAACTAACTTCGTGTCCTAGAGGAAAATAGATAGTTTACGATTTGACAGCGCTTACCGCTTACGATCGCCATTTTGCTTAGCTAGCGCTTTTTTCTGCCAAACGCAGCCAATAACATAGCTGCTGATGTTTGAAAAATAATATTGAGGACGGATTATATTTTTGTAGCTATTTTAACGATTTTCGAGCATTTTTCGATCTATTATTACAGAAATAACGAGGAATGTGAAAAGGGAATTATTCACCAAGCGACATCTTTTACCTTAGAGAATTGCTACTTCAAAATATTTGTTTTAGATTAGTAAGGAACGCGTGTAGCATAACTTCTGTCAAATCTGATCCGGCAGTTTGATTTGACATGTCAGATGGTGTATTCAACGCTCACCACGCTCTCACAAAATACTAACTAGTACATATTATGTTATTATTTGAAAGCTAATAAAAAGATTTTTATACGTGGTAGAGCCACAATGCAGCTATTATGGTTGTAGCAAGAATGGGTCGGCTCGACCGGGGAAGGACCACGCTCTCACAGAATACCAGCGTAAAATAGCAGTTTAATGCTGCTGATTTCGTATGGAGAGTGTAGAGAACCGGAGACCCGTTTTACAGGAATCGAGGCATTCCATCTTAGTCCTCAAGGGTGATAACGCATTTGCATTTTGATTCTTAAGCGAGGTTAAATGTAGATGTCTGATGGGCCACAGCATCCACTTACCATCACCATCAGGTGTATTGTGTGCTCATTTGTCACACTTATCCTATAAAAAAACGCAGAAGATAGTATTATTTTATTACGTATGCCGATATTATGTCTGTTTTTATATAGGGCGTCCATTATCTCTACTCATCCAGTATGTAAAATATACTGATATTTTTGTTCTCAAATTGAATGATTTTTTTTTATTAAATAGGTCATACTTCAGGGTTGGTCTACTAAAATACTTAAAGAACTAAAAAATTAAGAAATAGAATGATTTTCGTGTCAAATGAGTACTCCTATACGTTACGTCTTGACACCGACTACTTAAGCTATTACAAGGAAATTATTTTATTATTTTTGTTTCTTGGAAGTCAGCTTTTGCTTTGATAAACTCTAATTCTTTACTGAAGTCGGTAAAGGATTGTTGGGAAGGATGTTTTTATGTTATCTCATAACTTTTCTCTGGGTTAACTAATTTTGATGATTCTTTTTTTTATCTGAGAGCTGGTGCTTCTCTTGTGGTCCCATATAAATTTAATCAAGATCTGACCAGCCGTTTTTGTGTTATCTATAACAATGTATATTTAATTGACTTCGAATACTTGATTCGGTTGTATTGAAGTCGGTTTCACAAAATTTTTAATTTTAACACTTATAATTTATACTTCAGCATAAAATTTTAAAAAGTTAACTTGAATTCGATTTTTTTTTTGAAAATTATTACAGGTGACATGCTTCAGATCAGAGTACATGACACAAAAAGAGGCTTTGCAGCATCCTGATGGCGTTGTTATGATTTGTTACATTATTAAAGTAAGTTTATAAAGTAGATTCATAATAGTTACTGTAAATAAACAGTTTGTTGAGATTCCACTCCCTTTGAGAAGGATGATTATAATAAATACAGAATTAATTAATTACTAAGTCTAAGTGGTTACTACCCTCCAAATAGCAGTGAGTGTTTATTTAATTACAGGCCGTGAGGTTTTCCTTTAACGTCTCAAGAGTGGCAAAGCATCCGTAGCGTTCTTTGTTTAATAGTACTATTACATTAAAGCAAATTTTGGCATACAGGTCTTTTTCATACTAGGTGAAGATAAAGGATAATTGTTGCCTCGTGTTTTCGCAAATTTTTTTAGCATGCATTTTATTTTTTAAACTGCGTTAAGGAAGCCCAGTGGACACCACCTTGCTCTAAAACCATCTCAGAAATGAGTCGGCTTGTGTCCAGGGTTGGGATGTGATGTAGGTATGTAGGCTGTGGGCTGTAACGTTAATTAAAACCGCCATTTATTAAAAGCCGTGATATCTTTATGCTCCTTACGAGTATCATAGTCTCCTCTCACCACACCAATCGAATGAAATGGGATGATTAACTCCGCCCCCACCACAATCCGCGTTCAAGATAAGAGTCCCAAATACGAGTACCTATAAAACGACAGATTAAGACTATGTACGGTTCATGTATTTTTTATAGGACAGGGTGACAAACGAGCACACAGTCCACCTGATGGTAAGTGGTTGCTGTGGCCCATAGACATCTACATCTGTCCTCGATTACAAATCAAAATGCAGATCCGTTGTCACCCGTGAGGACTAAGACGGAATGCCTCTTTTTCAGTAAAAAGGGTCTCCGGTTCTCTACACTCACCATGCGAAACACAGCAGCATTACGCTACTATATAAGCATTACGCTACTGTATAATTTTATGAAAACCGTATAGATATACGTTTCTTACTTGTTCTCATCATCAGTCACTTAAGATTCCACTGCTGAACTTGGGCCTCTCCGTTGTATGGTGGATTTGCAGTAACCGTTACTCTTGGCAGGCGCATTGACGATCGTAGTACCATAAGACGTCTCGTGGTAACGCCTCTGCTCGAAACTGGTCCTGGTGATGATCTCATCTACCAAAACCTATAACATTTTCGTCTCTTACCATGGGGCGAAATAGGATGATGGATTGTATTACGCCAGCACCGCACGAAAAAAACTTAACATTAAAACGACATAGTCCATCTCTTTCTATTTTCATTTATTAAAAAGAGAGAGAATTGTTAAAAGATAGAATTTTTAACTTGACGCCATTTTTTATGAAGTCGTTTTATTTTTGTTTTATTATATTAATATTTTTTATCTCGATCAACTGACAATAATGGTGATATAGAAAAAATTAAAACTTATTCACATTCTTGAATATTATATGAATTTTAAAAGATTTACTTAAGAATTCAAAACGTGTGATTTTTTAACATAAATAAGAATCACGATATGTGAACAAGCAAAAAAGTTATGAGCCATTTCAATACAAAAACTTCTTAATTTTAGCACGGCGTTAATCCTGATGAACGTTTGAGTTGGTTATTAGAGGGATTCCCGAGAATAAAAGAAGCAAAAACTAGCACCCGTATCGGGCCTTATCCGATGTCTCGTCTCTTGCCAATGTTTCATGAAGATTATTTCCTATATTGGGGAAGTTTGGAAACGGTTAAAGGCGAAAGTTGTGTGATTCGGTGGATCGTTCCAAGGATTACGTTGTTTGCATCTACAAGTCAGGTATTCTTATCTTAAAAATACTCATTTTTTGGTACGGAGAAGATGCTGTTATCTAGGCAAAAGGGAAAATTATGTATAAACTTTTATACCTTTATATCGTACCTATCGAGACACTTTTTCTTAGAAACAGGCTGATAAGTATCAAGTTGAAATTAATATTAAATACTAAATTCTAAGACCCAGAGAGGTGTGAAAAATTCAATTTTCTAAGCAAATGAAATCATATATGTCACATATTTTGATACATATTAATACACCTTTGAGTATACACCCATCAAAACCTTTAATAGCGTAGGTAGGTGTTTCCCTTCCCGTTGACCTAGAATCATATAATTTGACAAGAAGCAAGGTCTAACAGCACAATTCAAGGAATAGATCCAAATACTTAAAATTAAAGAACAAAATTTAAATTAGACCTGCCGTAATATAACTTCGAACCTCGGTTTCAAAACAAACGAATAAGGATTCTATGAGTATTAGACGGGGACAGCTAGTTGGAGTATAAATATGTTGGAATATGGTAGGGTAAAATATAAAGAAAATTAAAAATTTTGTACAAACGACTTCAATATAATTAAAATGAGAACATCAGTCAATTAAATATGCATTATTAAGGATAGCTCAAAAACTACTAACAAATCTTAATTAATTAAAAAAAGGGTCCCATATAAAAAAAAAATAGGACCAAACGAGCACGAGCTTTCAAATAAAAAAAAGAATCATCAAAATCGGTTCACCTAGAGATAAGTTCTGAGGTAACCCGCACGGAACAAGTATATTTGTATGGCCTACAAATAATTGTTCCGGGTCTGGATGTTTGTCCTTGTGCAATTTATGTTTGTAAACTGCCCCCACGATACAGGAGAAAATCCTAGTGTAGGGGTAACGTTTAAAAAAAACACACACAGTCGAATTGAATACCTCCTCCTTTTTGAAGTCGGTAAAAAAGGAAGTTTCGGTTCTCGTTGAATGGTTTATTAGCCACTATAATGATTTGAAGGCGTAAAGAAGGCAGTCGATCTTTGATAATACCGCGTAATAAATATAATAGTGTAAACTATAAATAGATCCAAATTTCCATTCCAAATCAAAGCCATAATAATTTAAATAACCAGTTATTTTTAGATGGCCGAATTCCGCAAGCTATGGGACCCGTGGGATGAACCGAATCTGGCGAACTATAGGCCCTTACAAGAAAGACAGGATAGACACGTTCTCTTTATTAATCCACATTGGAGTCAATACAATTCCCTGCTGCCAATACCAAGAATTCCAGAACAGTCTATATCAATTCTGTCTCCTGCATATCAAGAACACCCGTGGATGCTTCCACTACAAAACAGGCCACCAGATCCTAAGGAAGAAAATGAACACCAAACATGAATTACAAGCGATATGTATGAAACATGTGTTAACTAATTAGATAGTTGATTACTGTTAAAAACTCATTTATGTTATAATACTTTTCATATTCTTCTTAACTTGCCCGGCAGATGATAGTCTAGCCTTTCCCGTAGGTGGCTTGACAAGTTTTACTCCGTTTACTACTAAACTAAAATACTATATATACCTACCTACATTTAATACTAGTGTAATATATTTTTATTGCGAATATGAATACTTTTCGTTTTTCATTTCTTTTTTCGTAATAGCTAAACTACGTCACCGTTTATGAGATCCTAGCACGGCTATCGATTATTATCTGAAAAGGTCAAAGATTCAAAAGGTTGAAAAGATTTTTTTTAAGATTGTAAGGTTCAAAAGATTTTATTCTATTTAGGATTGTATAAAGCTCTTAAGAACGTTAATATACTACAGTTTGCGAACAAAAGATCTGTTCAGAGAAAACCCGGCAACAAACTACTGGGTATTTTAAAGCCGTGTTACAATTTCATTTACAATAATTACAACCGTTTATACCTTATAGTGTCAAAGGTTAATAAATATTTACAAATATCGCTTTTATTTAAAAATTCGGACTTGCAAGTGCAGAATAAGCGTTTTATTTCCACTCATCATTATCTATTTTATAATAAGTTTTTTTTTTAAATTTTAATTTATAAATTTTTAAATTTTATACCTGATTGGTTTACTAAAATTATAGATTATTTAAAAAAATAGTTTACCAATATATCCTCCACGATGGAACATACTCGAACTTTCGAAATCTAAATTATTAAAAAATATATTATTGTATGAATATCATGACATCAATCGGTAAAATCATTCAGAAATTACACGATAACTAAAAGAGGCACATAGGCGATAATCTTTATTATATTATATACCTATAATATAATAAAGATTACCTATCGTGACGGCCCATTATTATTATAAATAATTAATAATTAATTCCTATATAAAGTCGTTAAAAATAATCTTAGAAAAAATATATTAAACAATATAAATACGCATAAAATTAAAATAAATTCATTTCAGATATTGAGTGTTACAGTAAATATTTTCTTTCAAAATCAATAAATGTATTAAGAACTTAGTTAAAATTTTCAAAATATGATAAATAATAGAAAGACAAGTCGAAAATATTATAACAATAAAGATAAATAACATTTATAAAATAATTGGAAAATTATTAAAAAAATTGCCTAAGTCATGGAGGGAATATATGTACGTGTATAAAGGTATATATATATATATATATATATATATAATATTGAGAGTGTTCGCGAATAAAAAAATTTCTAAGTCATATACATATATTTAAAATATATAAATGTTAAATAATAATGTATAATAATATAGAAAAAATATAATACAAATAAGAAGGGGGGAGGGAGAGCGTTAACTATGTCATCATCATCAGTCTCAAACAGTCCAATGATGGTGTCTACCTACATAAACAAGGCGTGATATATAGTCTTGTTGCAATGTAATAATGTTAATTTCTGTTAAGTCTAATGATATCTCTAACTTTGTTACTACTGGAGTTGAAAATATACTGACCGTCTTGGTCATGTTAGTTAAGTTACAGCCGATATACATCCCATTCCTAGACACAGACATCTCGTTTTTAAGGTGGTTTTAGGGCAAGAAAATGTCCTCTGCGCTTGTCAAACTGCGTGTTGTCAAACTTCACGTCTTTTTTTTTCTGAAATATATAGGTTTCTACACGATGTTTTCCTTAACTGCCGAGCACGTGGTAAATCATCACATAAAACTTTAATTAGCACTTTCAGTGCCGGCGCGGGGATCGAACCCGGGTTTTTCACGTACTGTGACATTTACAGCGAGCGTTTAACCCTTGAGTTAACACGTCTCCGAGGCTAAGCACTCGCTGTCGGTCTAATAAAAGTTTAAATAAGAAGCTTGAAACAGTATATTACTCGTTTTCCTCTTGACAACCGACGTAAATAATGGTTATAAAGGTAAAGCACTAAATCCTGGTAAAGATAAAAATTTATAGTCCACTTTGCGTTCATTCCGCTCCACTATTTGTAGTACAAACGACCAATGAAATTAAGATATATATCTGACTGGAAACCAATAACCAGCTTGCTTGAAAATAAAAATTATTATTCTTCTAACTTAAGTTTTCGGTATGGGTCGGCTTGACCGGGGAAGGACCGCGTTCTCACAGAATTCCAGCGTAGAATAGTAGATTAAATGCCCCTGTTTTTCGTATGGTGAAAATCCTTTTTTTTTTGTAAACTTGTCTTAGTCCTTAGGCTTTGATTATATACCTGTCTAGATAGAGTGTTGCGCTACAATCGCAACCAAAACAACAGGCCAGATTTGAAGCGCTTGTGTGCTTATTACACACACAAGTACGTGTAACTACTATTGTTTAACAAGCGCGCTGCGTCACCCGGGGGCGAGCTGAGTGATACCAGCTCTTGAATATTTCCCATTAGATTAAGTACTCATTTGACTTTTTAATTTTTTTTCTATATATATTTAATTTAATTTGCCTAGTTATAAAATGATAATTATTGTCATGACAATTGTACTTTTAATTTAATTAATTTAATTTTAATTATGTATAATATATTGATTTGCTTACTTATAAAAATAATGATTTAATATATTATGTTAAATAATTTTACAACTTTTTGTCATCTTTAATGTACCATGTTTAACGAATAAACAATATTATTTTTTTTGGTATTTATATAGTTAATTTTGTTATTTATGTACTTTTAGTTATAATTTAATAAATATATAAATGAAAATGATGGATATGCATAAATATCAATAAAATAAAATAAATACATAAATAAATAAAACCTAACCAGATGGGAGACCTCGTCTGGGGAGACCAAACGGCCGAGGCTTTGATTTTATACTTGTTTAATAAGATAAAAGTTAAACAAAATAGGTTGAATAAAGGAATTATTTCGTAGATTTGTTTTTTATTTATTTTAGTAACAACAAAAAAATGCTATGAAAAAATATAGAGTAATTTATAGATCAAAAGCCATCTCTTTGTGTTTGTTTTCGGAATAGTTTTCTCTTTGATTTTATTGCCTGGGCTACGTTATCTGATTTATAAATATGGTGACATCTTATTTGCAAATATTTTTCTATTATTAGTCTTAACAGGCTTGTTTGGTGATGTTGACAACAATCACTGATATTTTTGAAATAAGTCTGACCGACAAACTGACTAGTTATTTTAAGACTTATCTGTTCATAATTAGAGGATGTTGTTACTATGTAGCCCTGTTTTATAAAGTCTCTAATGACGTACTCAGAAGCCTTACAAATGTTGAACGCATCTTCCGAAGCATATATAAGACCGCCCTGATCTCGAATACTAACTAATTTATGAAATTGTAATATTTCGTTTGATTTAATGGCCTGAATACAGTTATTACATTTAATCAGTCCACAAATACGTCGAACAACAAACCTTGCTATGTAACCAACTACTTGCTCGAAATAGTCTGTATATTCTGGATTAATTAATAAAGAAATATCAGTCTGTGTTAAAATATCATATGGAGCAGCGCTTACAGTATCACACTCATTGTCATCTTCTGCTCGCGTTTGAGACGTAGTTTCATTTATACATTTGACTGCAGAAGTACATGTTAGGATGCTGACGCTTTCTAAAGGCACACAATTACCAGAATCAACTGCTTTGAGTTCCATGTGACATAGAAGCTTTCTGAAAATTCCCTTAAATTGTCTCGCATTCGGGTTATCGTTGTAACCTCCATGCATTCGTACGGCACCAAAAAATAATTCAATGTGATCTTGACTTAAGCGGTATGTTGCCAAATATTTTAGTTTTTTGGTGGGTATAAGGGAGTCATACAATTTTTTTAAACTCTCTATATCAATTAATATCCCTAGAAAACCGGTAAATATTTGTGATTTTAAAACAGATGTATTGGTTTTTATAATGATTGCTTTTGAATGTTCTCCTTCCTTATAACTTCTTTTTCTAGAAACTTTAAGACTCAATTTCAAGACAAATTCTTTTGCTTTCTCTAATAAATCGAATACCTCCCCTTTATTAAATATTAATAATGGATGGCAAAATCCATGTTGGCTTAGATTTCTACTATTGAAAATATCGAAAACATTATTTATTAACATGATGAACTCTTCCGTATCTTTGCTATCCTCGAAACCTGAGATATTTAATTCCACCCGACAAAATTCTATGGCTTTTGCAACGCTTCTACTAAGCACTTGTGTTGCAAGTTTGACATTCATTATAGAGTTTCTAAAATATAAATGTTTTTTTGTGAGTTTATTAGCTAGATGTAAGCCAGTTTTACTTTGTAAATCACACAATTTTTTTTACGTATTCCCATCTTATTTCTTTTTTATTCTCATTCAAGAAACATTCTTTGGATTCAAAGTGGTTCCTTATTAATTTTATCATGTGGCAGGAATCCAAAAAAACGACGACATCGTAATTGGCGTAAGGGTGCTTGAATGTAGTTTTTAAATGCCTCGGATCACATTTAATATCACACCCCAGTATTTCCATTGCGGACAGGTTTGTAGGATGTCCGTCAAAAGTAAGTGACACAACGTCTACTCCTACATCGTTGCATCTTCCAAGAATAATCTTAATAATACTACTTTTTTGAACGCCTGTTAGCCCGTGAACAAAGAAATAGGCAATTGGTAATTTCCAAGGCTCATTAAGTGAGACCAGTATAAAAACGTATGCCTCGGAAGCCATTTTGTTTATATTTTCATCGGGATCAGAACCGATGTCAACAAGCCCGTCGTCTTTATGTGTTTTATTGTTCCAACATTTTTGCTGTCGGATAGCCATTTCATCTGCAATTAGTGCGCAGATAAGGTTTTTTTCAGATTTTTCTCTTTTGGCTTTTAGCGTTTGAAAGGCATCTTCAGTGAGTCCTGGGGAACCGTCAATATTGCAGTACCATTTAGTTAAAGTTTTGGGATGTGGGAGGCATGTCTCAAATTTTCTCCTGACAAAACTATAAGCACGTGGTGACAAAAAGTGCAGTGTCAAACAAAATTTCCGAAATTCCGGGGAGTACTTAGCAGGCCGTTTACCTTGACCTTTTATTTTTTTGACATTTGGGAGTATAAATCAGCGGCAAATAAATTTCCTTCTAGGACGTTATGTACATCTTCATTGATCAATCTTTGTTTTTTCAAAGTCTTGATATTACATTTGAAAGAGATATTCTGCTTTTTCAGACGAATGTTTTTTTTCCTTAATGAATTAATGACAGCCTTATGTTTGCGTTCCAGTTTTATCTTGCGGCGTAATGTACGCCGTAACTTGACTTTGCGTGGAGTATCAAATATCGATTCCAAGTCTGAAAAATCTTGTAAAACTGTCGTTGGCTCATCATCATAACTCACCGGCTCCTTCGAGCACGAAGGTTTAGGTTCAAAAATTTGATTTTGAATATCAATCGCCTTATTGGAAGCGGATGGGCCCTGTTAAAATTAAATGAATCGTATTAAAGACTAATGATTATTATTGTAAATTTGTCTGTTTGTTGTGTTAAGCCACTTACTTGTTTTATATTTGTTGAGGATTCTGTTTCTGTCGCTGACAAAAACAGACACTGTAACAAAAAAAATTGAGATAAGTAAAATATGAAAATTACACTGCTCTAAGCTTGATGTGTATTATTAAAAGCCATACTGCATGATTTTTTCATTACTAATTTTAAAAAAAAATTGATTTAAAACATATCATATCTTACCTTGCTTGGTACCGATCCATTTTTTAGCCGTCGAAATCCCTTTTTTGTAAAATATAAATCATCATCAGAGAAATGTTTGGAACACACAACTGAAGTCTTGTGAGGTTTCCACTGGTCGTCATTTCGTGTCCGCTGTATAATGTCTTTCCAGCAATTTGCTAGTACGGAATCCGTAGGAAATCTGAAACCCAAAATATTAGAAAGAACTAACAAAAATACTATTTAGTGCATGACGTCACGGGTTTCATTTATTTTGTGTAGGTAAGTTATCATTCACTGATCAAATAAATAAAGTAATTTTTAAAATAATAATGTTCTCCTGATCGAAAGATGATGTAATAATATTTGTATTTTGTCTCCCATAACTTCGCCAAAACTCCCTAGTAATAAACTGACAACACCGGCTAATCAGACCAACCTACTAGGTAACGAATTAAAAAATCGTGTTTTCTTAAAATAATAATGGTTAAATAACAAAACTTACCGATGAAAAGTGATCTTGGTGTTATTATTCGGTTTTCCCACATAATTGCGACACAATTTGACAGCACAAACCGGCATAATTAATTATTTTTCGTGAGCACGTTATCCCTAAGTGATTCAAATGACACTGACGTCAGTGAGAAGCGAGTCTACTAATTATAGTAGACTTTATTTGGGCCGTTCGGTACGGTCAATGTGGCATCTAGACAGGTATATAATCAAAGTCCTTAGGGTTGGCAATGCAACTTCATTTTGATTCATATTCGTAGATGGATGTTGATGTCTATTGGTCACAGCACCCATTTACCGTTAGGTGGACTGCGTGCTTGTTTATTATCGTCATTCTATAAAAAAAATCCGGTTTATTATACAGAGTGTTAGTGTAAACACCGTTGTCCTTGAAACCAGTGGTTTGGTTTCACTTATAGAACCTGAATTCAACGAATTTAAAAAAAAATAACGCTATTTTTAACGCTATTTTTATAAAATTTAAAAAATTTCTGTCCGACACCGTCCGTAAATTCATGGATACCCTATGCGCCCGAGTGACGTAATCACTGTAAAGATCACCACCCACGCTAGCTACTTACACAACATTCAACATAAAAACACAATAGGTACACATAACCCGTGATGTAACTTTTCCTTCGTACTTTCATCCTGACTTAGGACAAGCAAAAATTGGGGAATTAAGGAAAAATTGAGATTTTACTAAAAAAATGTTGTTATTTTTCATTGAATTTACGTTCTATAAGTGAAACCAAACCACTGGTTTCAAGGACAACGGTGTTTACACTAACAACCTGTATATAACATTAGAATAGTAATGGGTGTACTCAAAAATTAATAAGGACACACACACACACGCACGCACGCACGCACGCACGCACGCACGCACGCACGCACGCACGCACGCACGCACGCACGCACGCACGCACGCACACACACACACACACACACACACCCACACACACACACACACACACACACACACACACACACACACACACACACACACACACACACACACACACACACACACACACACACACACACAAACACACACACACACAAACAAACACACAACACACACACACACACACACACACACACACACACACAACACAAATAGACACATTTTTAAATGTTTTTATTTTGTCTTTACTGTTTTTAATCTTTTTTTTTGTATTTGCGATTTAATATTTATATAATATTTTTTTTTAATTAACAAAAATATTTTATATTGATATAATATTTAATTACTTTGTACGTAGTTTAAAAGTATAAGTCAGGTACATGGGGAGCCTGCTACTTTGGACTCCCGCACAACACCTCAGGGAGGAGGGAGCGGTTGAAAAACAGCTCTGTATGAGATCTGTATCTCGTTACAGACAAAGCTGAGCCGTCTCCTTTTGTCTCAAATAATTATAATTTTCTTTTGTTTTAACGTGAAAGTAACTGTGTGTTTTAGAGGCAATAAATTTATTATTATTATTATTATTATTATATAGGCTAAAGAAAAAATACTTAAGCCAATATAATTCCATAAGGAAAAGATTTAGAAGTTTGCTCACCCGAATATTCGCAGGAATTCGAGTAGAAGTTTTTAAGTTGTTTTGAAGTTCAAATTAGATACTGTATATCATTTTATTTTTGCATGCGAATCTTAGAAATCTATTTCTTTATCTTTTCGACCACGGTGACTATTTCCGTATAATTTAGATTCGATTATGATTTAATAACTAACGAGCTCCCGAATATTGTCGGAAACTATGAAATAAGCACTATGATATAGTGCCTGCTACAGCTACAGGTGTACACGCACACACACGAGTATAGATACACACGCAAACTAATCAACGTGTAACGCTTAGCATGTAGTGTTGGCGACGCGTCTATAAGAATATTTCAGTTTATTAAGTCAACCGATAACGAATAGCTTCTAAAAGGCAAATTGTCCAATAGCAATGTTCTAATAAGAAAATGCTTAGTTATATCTTAAAGAATGGCGAATTAATGATATGAAGGTCTTGGGTTCGACTCCCAGGCCGGACTAGTTTATTGTTTTCTTAAGTAATATCTCTTAATAAATTCAAAGGAATATTAAAGTGAAGTTAGAGATCGGATTTGTTCCCCGGTCGAGATGATCACTCTGTGCATAAATAGAATTAACGGAAATTAATTGCATAAGTATTGCCTTATATGAGTTTGATATGTTTTGTATGAAAATAAATGTCTATTTGCTATGATTGATTTATGAGAACATTCACTTATATTGTTATCTGATAAGAAACATGATAACTGATAAGAATCTGATTAGAAATAGTTTCCTACAGTTTGAAAATTGTGTAGAAGCATTTATTCACCTAATACTGTCGATATTGGTGTATATTAGACTTTTCATTTTTTCTGATAGTCGAGAGCCGTGCAAAGTTAGTTGTTCAAATAGTGTGAGTTCACGGACGCACGCTAGCCACGCCCTTAGGAGGCCAAATATGTAAAAATTTAAATATTTGTAATTTCAGTAATTTATGTAAAATGACTTGTAAAACATTACAGGTTGATTGTAAGTGCTAAAAAGGTGAATTCTGTGTTATTTTTATGTGAAAATTCCTGTGTATAAGTGAAATAATGATAGTTTTGTGTAAGAAATTTAAAAGTATTTTAATAGTGAAATTAATAGAGAAAATTTAAATTAAACTGTTGTATTGGTTAACTTATGTATAATTTCAAGTGGAAAACATTGTTTTAACTTTCTATGTTAAATATTTAAGAAATTTCGACTTTGAACTTGTGAGTAAAATAGGCATATTTTGTTAAATAAATAAAAGGTTTTTTGTGATATGAAAATGTAATGTATATCGTAGTGTAGATATTGTTTTGTGCTATCTATACAGGTAAATTATGTTGATGTATGACTTATGCAAATAAAGTAATTAAGTAAAACGTGAGAGAGTAATAGAAAAAATTCGTGTATTGAAATAATACTAGTTTTTACGGAATTTATCGCGTGTATTTAACTTTTTAATTGCCCGACATTTCGAACGCTTTACAGCACTCATGGTCACGGGCAGGACTGAGATGTTCAACGTCCATATGTCATAGTTAACCGCGGTTACCATAGATTAAAATTTAACTTTAACCGCGGTTACCATAGATTTAAATTTTAATCTATGGTAACCGCGGTTAACTATGACATATGGACGTTGAACATCTCAGTCCTGCCCGTGACCATGAGTGCTGTAAAGCGTTCGAAACGTCGGGTAATTAAAAAGTTAAATACACGCGATAAATTCCGTAAAAACTAGTATTATTTCAATGTGTAGTGTTCGCGTAAATATAAGAAATCAAATTCATGTAATTGAGTTGCGCAAGCGCGCGAATGGCGCGGCTCACTTTCGCGTATTGCTCTGGGGTAGCTCAGTAAATGAGTTTTATTGCAATTAGTTCGGGAATCTTTCGGGAAATGTTCGAGAAATAAGTACGAAAATCCTTCGGGAAAAGTGCAAGACCAGCAGTCAATAAGAAGAAAGAAAAAGTGTAGGGAAGTGATAGGGAAAAGTAATTACTCTCTCACGGAACGGTTTGAAGATAATTGCTGTTTTATTCCCAAGGAATTCTTCCCTCAAAATAATACAGTCCACATCGAAGAATTAAGGCGTTGGGACCGGGACGACTTCGGAAGACCCGTAATCCCCGTCTGAACCTGTTTGCTGAAAAGGAAGAGGTTATCGCCCTTGTGTGTTACTCCGTTGCGGAGATCACATACGTTGTTCCCGAACCCAACGTAGGCGTTATAGGAGGCCGGATCGAGAGAAGCCTCGATTCCTCCCTTCTGTTTCTTAGTTGAACGTTTACACACCATTTGGTTCCTTTTCAATTGGACCTTCGGAGCCGGATTAAGAGGATCCCTCGCTGGTTCCTTTTCAATTGGACCTTCGGAGCCGAATTAAGAGGACCCCTCGCTGGTTCCTTTTCAATTGGTCCTTCGCAGCCAGGATCAAGGAACCAGCTGTGGACTGCTGTTTGTGGAAAAAGAAGACCTTCGGAGCCGAGTGAAGATCAGCAACCGAAGGAAACCGGAGGTTTGAGCTGAAGCAATAGGACCAAAGGCCAGAAGACCAGGTCGTCAGCGCAGAAGGACTGGACCTGGAACTACCGGAAGAAAGAAAACCGGGATTGCGGCTTGGGGCGTGTGCTCGCATGAGGCACGTATCGCAGCCAGGCGCAAGTGCCTTGTGAAAGGCGCTCATCGTGGCCAAGCAGGGCTTGGCATTTTTCCTGTCGGGCAAGCGTGCTCGGCATTTCCTGTCGGACGACCGTGTCCGGCATTTCCTGTCGGGTCATCAGAGGGTGCAAGAAGAAGCATCCACCGCTGGTGCTGCCAGGCGAGGGTGCGCGTGGGCACCTGACTGCATCGCGGCCGGAGGAGGTCGCCTTGGACGAGGCGTCACCGGCGACTGGGCGGCGAGCACAGCATACATCCCGACCACCTAACGGTGCCAAACGGTCGGGCTCTGGCACAACACCTTCGGGTGGAGCAGTTCTCTCGAGCGAGACTGCGCTTGCACTACCGCTCGACTGTTTCGTCATATTCCTTGGCGGGATAGTTCCTAAACCTTTCCTCCATTCCATTCCTGCACGACTCGGTAGGCCCCGTTCAGGATTGATAGGGCTGATAGGGCTGTTAGGGTGGTAGTAGAGTTGTAGGGTTGGGAGATAAGGGGGGGGGAGGGGTAGTGGGGTTAGGTTGGGGTGTAGAAGGGTTGTAGGTAAGCGGTTGTAGGGACCGTAGGGACAGTTAGGGACTGTAGGCCAACAATCACCTTCCGGCAAGATGAAGAAGGCACAAGACCAGACAGGGAGGAGCGAAGGGAGCAGGGCAAGGACAGGGCTCTCAATAAAAGCTAAAGAAACGGAACCATCTGGAGCGACCACAGCTATTGCATCAAATGGGGCAACTCCTTCAAGTGGAGCCACCACCGACACGTCCACATGCACGTGGGACTCAGGGACGTCCATGGCAACAACAAGCAACAGGACGGACACCAGTGGTACGCAGGCCAGCACCGCACAACAATCCGTTATATCCAGGAGTGAAACGGTGGTCGAAAAAGTAGGTCAAAGGACCGAAGAAGCGGCATCGTCAAGGACAGTAATCGGGCACACTAGTGACAAGGGGTCACAGAGAGGTAGTAGGTCATCGCGATCGGCGAGGCTGAAAGCCGAATTAGAGGCGCGGATTAAATTCGAACGCTCAGAGCTCGAACGAGCACAGGCAGCTGCTGCCTTAGCCAAGTCTCAATTGGAGTTGGCACGACTCAACCGAGAAGAGGAGATCGACTCGAGTGAGGATAATGAAGAGCGGAATACTCAGGTGGAACCTTTCGTAAGGAGTTGGGTTCAGCAGACCATAATGAGCGCGCCGGTTAGTGAAACGCAACCCGATATTACTGATAAGGAAGCGTGTAAAGGATCACGCCGCAAAGGGGCGGAGATCGAGCGCTACCAAGGAAATGCACAGAAAACACACGCGAGTGAGGTGTCAGAATTGACCGAAGCGATTGTGAGTGCAATAAAGATAGCGGGTAAAGATAAGTCTTCCCAGCTTCATTTCCTCCAGGAATTACCGGTGTTCGATGGAGACCCGGGTGAATGGATAATTTTCAAAACGGTGTTTGAAGACACGAGAAGCCAATTTTCAGGGGTGCAGAATGTCGCACGCCTTAGGAGGGCATTAAAAGGCACCGCTAAAGAAGCGGTCAAGTCGTTATTATTTACTTTGTGTGAACCTGAAGAAATAATGAACGCTCTCGAAAGAAGATTCGGTAGGGTTGAGATGCTCATTCTAGCCGAAATCGAGAATGTAAAGCGTATGCCAAGATTGGCAGAAGATTGCCGGAATATAGGATCTTTTGCAAGTCGTATTACGAACGTGGTTGCCACAATACAAGCGTTGAATCAACCACAGTATTTATACTCACCGGAGTTAGTGAGCCGCATAGTGGAGAAACTCGGAACTATGATTAAATTTAAATGGTTTGAATATCGAGCTCAGTATCCTTTGGAGCCAGAGTTACAGAAGATGACCAAGTTTTTAAATTTATTGAGTGAACAATTTGGAACGTCCTTAAGCAATGAAAATGCGCCTGAAAAAAATGCGTCCTGAATTCAGGAAGCAAACTGTACACACTGCAAAGGGATGCGTACGCAGTCGTGCCAAGAGCGAGCGCTATGTGCGCCGAAGTAATACGAGCGAGCGTCTAGAACGCCGAAATAATAAAGGGCACAACCGACAAGTGGTTATGACAACCCAGGACAAGCCTGTAAGTCGGGTAACACATAAATGTGTTATATGCAACAAGGAGCACTCTATAGTGAGTTGTTACAAGTTTAAGGACATGAATATTCGCGAGAAATGGGACGTAGTCAAAAAGGCGAAAGTATGTTTCCAATGTTTGTCACCTAACCATAGGAGGTTAGAGTGCAAAGCGAAAAAATGTGGTGTAGAGGGATGTAGAATGTAACATCATCGGATGCTACACCGATACCCCAATGAAAATACCTCGCCGCAAGGGGACGAGGGGGGGTAAAGAGGCTCAAATTACAACCGTTAGTACAGTGAATGCACTGGCATGTGCATACTTAAAGATTATACCGATCGAGTTGTATGGACCTAGAGGAAAGGTCAAGACAACAGCTCTTCTGGATGAGGGATCGACCATGACACTCATAGAGGAGTGGATGGCTCAGAAGTTAGCGCCTCGCGGACGTAAAGAGGAATTACGTATTGAAGCCGTGGGAGGTAAGCGAATTAACGACGACAGTTCGTATCGCTTAAACGTTAAGATAAAAGGCATTTACTCGAACGACTTAGAAGAGATAAGTGTATAAACAATTAAGTCACTTAACCTTTCTCCGCAGTCAGTAAGCCGAGAATTATTGCAACGGTGTTCTCATTTGACACCGATTAAGGACGAGTTAATGTATGAGAGGTCCAGACCTACCATATTAATTGGCCAGGACAATTGGCATCTCATAGTTACTCGTGAATTAATTTCAGGAGGTAAGAACCTACCTGTAGCATCGCTCACCAAACTTGGATGGGTTTTACATGGCCACATATCGGGTGGCATTAAACCAATCAAGATTGTTAACCATATTTCCACGAAGAAGGAGGAAGACATGGATAAGTTAATCAAGGATTATTTTAGTTTGGAATCTCTGGGAGTGTCCGCGAGAAAGCCCGCGAACGACCCAGAAGAACGAGCTTTAAATATTTTGAGCAAAACGGTACGTCGTATACCTAATAAAAGGTACGAGACTGCTTTGTTATGGCGCACAGACAATGAGTGCATGCCATCGAATAGAGCGCAGGTTGAAAGTCGCCTGTTTAATATCGAA